CCCCAAAACCCCAAAACCCCAAAACCCCATTGAGCTGAATAAGATTTTAATGTGTAGATATGCTGATAAGGAATCCTGTAATTCGATGGTATAAAAATAATAAATCTTTTATAAATGGAATCATAAACTTCAGATAAAGATACAATGATCAAGAGAATATTGGCAGCAGATTCTAATTATCCAGTAATTGACAGAACTTTCAGCTATGGAACAGCTGGCTTTAGAACTCTAGGTGCTCATCTAGAAAAAGTCAGCTTCAGAGCTGGAATCTTATCAGCTATTAGAGCTAAGGTGAGTAATGGCTTGACAGGCGTGATGGTGACTGCCTCTCACAATCCTAAGCAAGACAATGGATTGAAAATTGTTGAGGCTGACGGCTCAATGCTGCATCCCGATTGGGAAAAGAAGGCAGAGATCCTAATAAACTCAAAGAATCTAGCTCAGACTTTATATGATTTTGACCAGGAATTCACTGCCCATAATATCTTCGAGCATAGAGGGTATGTATTCGTAGGCTAAGACACCAGAGAATCAAGTTAAAGGCTCTCAGATGCTCTAAGGAATGGTGCCTTTTTCATTGGAAGTAAAACCATTAATTATGGACTAGTCACTACACCTTAACTGCATTTCCTTACTGAGAAAGGTGGCAAGATTGGATAGGCAAGGTACGATGAGATTAAAGCTAATGATTACACTGAATTCTTTACTGCTTAATTCTAAAATTTCTTAGCACTCATAAAAGATCAATCAACCACAAAGTATCAAAACGAGCTTTACTTGGACTGTGCAAATGGCATTGGTTCAGTGTAAATGAAGAAGGTATCTGAACTGCTAGGAACAGACAGTGATTTGAAAGTACATTTCTTCAATGATGATCTGATTCCAGATAAGTTGAACGAAGAGTGTGGAGCTGAATTCGTGCACAAGGATTAGAAATTCCCAACCCATTTTGAAGACTCCAGTTTCAGAGGCAAGAAGTGTGCTAGCTTCGATGGAGATGCCGACAGACTCATTCTATTTTACAGGGATGAGAATGACAAACTAGTACTGATTGACGGTGACAAGCAGTTTGTGCTCATTAGTATGTATGTTAAAGACCTGCTTTCTAAACTAGGCATAACTGAGGACTAAATGAGCTTAGTGTTGGTTTAGACTGCCTATGTTAACTCAAGAGCAACTAGATATCTCAAGGAAAAAGGTGTTAGAAATGAACTATGCCCCACAGGAGTGAAAAACGCTCATCCAATAGTCTTAAAATATGACATTGGAGCCAACGACGAGCCTAATGGCCATGGAACTATAGTAGCTAAGATGGATAAATTAGATTAGGTATTAGCAGGTCATATGGACAAGATTGAGGCTCAAAAACTTAGAGCAGTTCTTCTCATCTCCAATATGTGTGTTGGTGATGCAATTGCCAATATACTGCTACTCGAGGCTATAATGAGAGATTTAGATATGAGTATTCAGGATTTTGCCCTAATATATGAGGAGAACCCTTCCAGAAACTACAAAGCTGTTGTTAAGGATAGAACTAAGTTCAAAGTCATTTGGGACGAAACCAAACTCACTCAACCTATTGAACTATAAGAGAAAATTGATTAGTTGATCACCACTGTTGAGGAGGGTAAAGCTTTTGTAAGACCTTCAGGAACTGAAGATATTTTAAGAATTTACTCAGAAGCTAGAACTCATGAGCAAATGGAGTTACTTGCCTAGCAAATACTAGAGGAAATAAAAACAAAATACAAGGATTATTGATTCATGATAAATTCTAAACTCTTAATTTATTGATCAACGGGGTTTTGGGGTTTTGGGGTTTTGGGG